ACACACACACACACACACACACACACACACACACACATTCTTTTTCATATTCTTTTCCATTGTGGTTTATCCCAGGATATTGAATAGAGTTCCCTGTGCTCTACAGTAAGACCATATTGTTTATCCATCCTATACATACTAGTTTGCATCTGCTCATCCCAAACTCCCAGTCCATCCCTCCCCCACAGGGAAAATTTTAAATTAAAATTTATGGTTTAGATTTGCATTCACCTTACAGTGATCACAGTGTCTTGGATGAAACTGGGTGAGCGACGCGCTGCACACAGACATCCCTCAGCAGTCTGCTCATGCTTGAATAGGATCAAACATGACACCGTTCCGGGTCTGGCCTCCGGTATTTACCTTAAAGGTAACATTGTAAAGAGCGGCCTCCTAGGGTGGGCTGTTGACGTGCATCTTTGTATATTCAGAACATTTCCCATGGCCTCGAGATCCTACGCCTCACCACTTCCTGACCTGGGCAGTCCTGAGGCCTCACCCTGAGCCCCGGTTGCAGAGCAGAATGGAACCCGCCTTGCATCTAAGGCGGAGGTGCCGTCAACTCTGTGGGCGACAGAAGCTGCGCTCAGACTGTCAGAAACAAAGGACGCGATTGTTCTTCCTGGGAGGACAGCCTCGAGAAAAATTCTCAAGGGGAAAAGATCTCCCTACCTCTTGTTCAAAGGAAAGCAGGTCACGGTTTCATAGGTTTCGGGACAGGGTTGCCAGCTGGAACGCCGGTCACAACTGAAGTGCAGACACACGTGAACACTTACACGTAAGTGTAAGCATGTCCCACACTGGGTGCCCCGAGTGTGTATTTTATTTGCGGAATCTGTCAGCCCTGTTTCGGGCGGAAGTGAAGTGGGTTTCTCTGGATGTGTAACCTTTGGAACGTTTTCTCTTTATTTTATTCTCTTAAATCCCAAAGTTGAGAGTGCTGTTATTTTTCAAGACTAGAAATATTTTTGAAGGTGACCGTATTTGGAGACGGGGCCTTTAAAGAGGTGATTGAGGTCAGATGAGGTCACTAGGGTGGCCCTAATCCCACATGTCCTAATAAGAAGAGGGGATCAGGACACAGACACGCACAGGGGATGACCACGTGGGGACACGGGGAGGAGACGGCCGAGTACGGCCCAGACATAGAAGAATCTGTCGCCACTGTGGCCTTGGGCCTCCAGCCTCCAGGACGGGGAGAAATAAACTTCTGTTGTTTCAGCCACCAGCTGGTGCTGGGAGGTGGGGCTTCTGTTACAGAGGAAGGGGGCACCCGCCCAGCCTGGCATCCTCCAGTCCTTCTGCCTGTCTGCCTGTCAGTCCCCTCAGGACAGGCTCCCAGCTGCCCCCGGGGGCCTCCTGCACCTGCTGCCTGTCCCGTGTCGCGGCGTCTCCTAGGAAACCTTGTTGTGGGGAATTCACTGGCCGTCCAGTGGTTGGGACTTTGTGCCGTCACGGTGAGGGCCCAGGTTTGATCCCTGGTCAGGGAACAAGACGCCACAAGCCACACGGCGCGGCCGGAAAAACAAACACAGGAACTTATTGTGGCCTCTGTACACGCCCGGTGGCTTCACAGCCCTTGTTCCGCAAGAGGCTCATTTCATCTTATGATAAAAATGTGTCTTATTTACAGGTTACACTCTCATAAAACTGTCTCCTGAAGCAGACCATAAGCTTCCTCCGATCCCAGAGCCTGCAAAGCGCCTGACGCTTGAAGTCGGTATTCAAGGAGTGGGGAGGCCAGACACACAGCAGGCGTGTGAGGACAAGCGGCCCTGACTGCCTTCGTGCTCTAGAACCACGCCCTCCCCACGGGGTAATCACCGTAATCACCCCGCCCCGAGCAGGGAGACTGGACCTGCCGTCTCCCTAGACCTGTTTTCTTCTTCAAAGGACAGGGATGTGACTTCCTGCGGGGCACACGGGGCCCCCGGGGGTGGGGGTCCTCTCAGCACTGGCCAGCAACCCCAGCACCCGAGGTTTTCTCCCTGAGCCCTTCTGTGCAGTAGGTGACACAGCCCGGCCAGGGTCACCCACCTAAGGGGCGAGCCTCCAGGACCTGAGTGCCCACCCCTGCAGCCATGGGGAGGCCCACATAGGGTGATCATGTGGCCTGGTGTTCCTGGGACTGTCTGGTGCCAGCTGTGGTCCCTGCCTGGACCTCACCCAAAGGGATAAGAAAAGGGCAGGAGGGATGGAAGGGACATGATGATGAAACCGCCCTGAGACCCAGGCCTCCTGCACTCGCTGCTGGCCTGCGTGGGAGATGTGGGCATCTGGCGGGGTCACTAGAAACCTCAAGACCTCCCCACGTGGGTCATTTCTATGCCCCGCCCCCCCGGTCCTTAATTGTGTACCCGTGACTCTGCACGTGGCCCTGCTTGCTTTCCGGGAAGGGTAGGAGCCGTGTAGGAGTGGATGGCCTTGTGAGGACCCTCTGAGCACATTAATCCCGCTGTGCCCGTGGTGGCCTCTGACCAGGAGCCCAGGTGGCGCACAGCGGGCGGACTGTGCGCCATTTAAAACTAATTATCGGGCTTCCCTCGTGGCGCAGTGGTTGAGAGTCCGCCTGCCGATGCAGGGGACACGGGTTCGTGCCCCGGTCCGGGAAGATCCCACATGCCGCGGAACGGCTGGGCCCGTGAGCCATGGCCGCTGAGCCTGCGCGTCCGGAGCCTGTGCTCCGCCACGGGAGAGGCCACAGCAGTGAGAGGCCCGCACACCGCAAAAACAAAACAAAACAAAACCAAACAAACAAACTGGGCTTAGTACTTTACTGGAAATGGTGTGAGCAGTGCTGCTGCAATTCGGACCGTCCATCCGACTTCCCCGTGGCGAGGTCGCAGTGCCTGGAGGCCGGCTCACCCTGACCCTCAGTGACCACCAGGTTTGGATGTTGTTACCATGGTCCTTTCATTACCCTCAGGTCTTCACAGTGATAGATGACGTTGCCTGGACTTTGCATTAGTCTTAGGGGGGACCGGCACCCCCAGAACTTGAGTTCTGACGGCACGTCTTACTTCAAACGGCAGCAGCTCTTACAATCAGGCGACAAGAACGGGGAGTCCCTGCAGGAGGAGGGGCGTCCGATGGGTGCTGAGTGGACACTGGGCTGGGGGTGGCCAGCCTCCCCCGAGGAGCCGGGGCCCCTGGGCGGGTAGCTTTAGGGCTGCAGAGCAGGCTCCTCTAGCGGCCTGACGGGGGGCAGCGGGGCACCAGGAGCGGCGGCACCCCAGCCCGGGCATGCCCTCGCCCTGAGGGGCCGCGCCCAATTTGGTTCCCTTCCTCTGGGTGTGCCCTGGACACCCACAGGCTGTGGGGGAAGGGCATCTGGCCGGTGAGTGTGCCCGGGACGCAGGGCACCGGGCGTCTGGAGGTGGATGGAGGGGCACCGAGGACACAGGGGTCCGGCTGCCTCTTGCTCCCAGGTGGGGGGCTTGGCAGACGCTGTGAGGCGGGGGCCAGCAGCCCTCAAACCGCCCTCTGGCTGCGGACCCTCCTGGCCACCTCGGACACGGGTGCTTTCTCCCTGGATCGTCACTTCCACTTTCCTGGAGGGCGGCCCCCTCTTATCTAACGCTCGCCCTCGTTTCATGTGGCCCCAAATGCCCTCGGTCGGGGGTACGGCTAGCACACTCAAGTCCAAGTGCCCGTATCCGTGCTCTGTGTTTCCTGTTGGGGCCGGGACCAGGGAGCTGTGAGGACACAGTGGGAGACGGAGGCTGGAAAGCGCCTGAGAAGGGCAGGAGTTAGGAAACGAGGCCGAGGGGGAGCAGGAAGTACCCGCCAGGCCCGCCAGGCCAGGGGAGCTGCTGGGCTGGGCCAGCGGGGCTGCGCGCTGGGCTACTCTGGGGCACGAGAGGAGTGAGGGCAGCCGTACCGGACATGCTCTTGGAGACAGGGAGTAGGAAATGTGGTTTGGGCCCCAGAGAAAGGCCGGAACGGGTGGGGAATTCAGGGAGTCACTTGCCGAAACTGGGAGCAGCCCCGTCCAGGGTGGCAGAGGCGGCTGCCAGGGAAAGGGGCGGGGCAGAGACAGGAGGGCGGGGCGCCGGGGGCGGGGCAGGGCTGGTGCTTGATGATTTGTAAGACCGGCGGCACCGCGTGGGCCGAGGGGCACCCCCGCGCTGGTGGGAGGGTAAGTCACCCTGCCTGCGGACTGGAGTCTGCAGAAGGAGGCGCCCTGTTGGCGGGAGGGCCAAGGAGGTGGGTCTTGATAGGGATACTGTGAACTGAGCCGAGGGCTTGGAAAGTCTCCCCAGAACCAGCAAATGGGGGGCATTTGGGCTCATGTTCAGTGGAACACTAATTTCCTACAGACTTCCATGGAAATGGACAGACAGACGTCCCCAGCTTAGGGACAGGTATGTTCCTCAAATTACTTTCCAGGGTCCTTGCTTAGCCCTCAAATGGAATGTTCCGGAAAAACCAGTGTTAAGGGCCAGCCAGGCTGGTTCACAACAGCCCAGGTAGATTTGCAGCGGATGCTGGCAATCCCGTTTCCACCACGGCCAGCCGCGGCTTATAGGCACTTGTCACGAGAAAGTACATCTAGATCCCCAGTAAGACACTGTCTCCGAAGTTGCCAGGCCCTGGTGGAGTGGGCCCTGCACAGCTAGGTGGCCACGCGACGTGTGCAGAGATGGTGTCTTTTCTGATTTGCCTGATCTGCCTACGGTCTGAACCCGCTTCTTAAAAGGGACCCTTGGCACGTGGAGGGCTGAGGCTAAAAAAGTGCCGTAAATCTTAAATTTAAAGAATCTTAAATCCCCTTTTACCTCACCACGTTTCCAAGGCAAAATTCAAAATGACAGTTTGGGCAAATCCTCGATGGCCTCCCAAATACGAAAAGCGGTTTAGACATGGTTTTCACGCCACGATATTGAAATGTGGGGACAGTGCAGTGGTGAACAGGGACCGAGAAAGATGCTGTCCTAAACCAGCGCTGTCCTGCAGTATCAAGGGGAACAGTGGACACTCAACATGGTAACCACGGTGCTCACATCTGCTGGTGTTTCCCTCAAAGTAAAAGGCACGCAAGGCTGGGATCGCATTTCTGTTCAATCGCAGGCGGCGCACAGAGGTGACTCATGCGGCCAAGATGTGCGCAGAAGTGGGAAGAGGCAGTGGGAGGAGGGAGCCCCTTTGGGGAGCAGAGCAGACGTGTGGGCTGTTAACCCCAGGTCACCCCAGATGGCAATTCTGCAGGGCCCAGCCCACCCTCCATCAACTGGGCTGGAGGAGCCCCAGCCAGCCAGCTCTTTGGACGTTGTGGTCCCGGCAGGGCTTGGCCCAGGGACAGGGTTGGAGGCAGGTGTCTGTGGAGGGGCTGGACCTCCTCCCCTAGTCTGGTTTGGGGAGGCGGGGAGGGACAGGGCAGATCTCCCTGGGGGTGGGGCTGCAGGGATGAAGATCCACTTACTTGGGGCTTCTCTGGTGGCGCAGTGGTTAAGAATCCACCTGCCAATGCAGGGGACGCGGGTTCGATCCCCGGCCCGGGAAGATCCCACATGCTGCAGAGCAACTAAGCCCGTGCGCCACAACTGCTGAGCCTGCGCTCTAGAGCCTGCAAGCCACAACTACTGAGCCCGCGAATCACAACTACTGAAGCCCGTGCGCCTATAGCCCGTGCTCCGCAACAAGAGAAGCCACTGCAATGAGAAGCCCACGCACCACAAGGAAGAGTAGCGCCCGCTCACAGCAACTAGAGAAAGCCCGCGCGCAGCAACAAAGACCCAACACAGCCAAAAAAATAAATTTAAAAAAATCCACTTGTTTATGTGTTGCTCTCAGGTCTTAAGTGTAGGTTGAAAAAGACCAAGTAAAAAATAAGACGACCTTTTTCTGCAAAAAGAACATTAAAATAGCAGTCATAGGTCAGAACGCCGGCCTTTGGACCTGCGGGTCACTTAGGTTTGGAGTGCTGTCAGAAGAATCCAAACTGGATTGATCTCCTCCAACCTTTGCTCCAGGCCCGAAAGGCCAGGGGGTGGGGGATGAGGGGTGGTACCCGCCGCACCTGTCCGGCCAGCCTTGCCAGGTTGAGTCCCCAGTCCCGCCCCAGGTGCCGCAAATCCCACCCACCCCGGTCTCCCCATCCCGCCCCCGGTCCACCATCCCCCATCCCGTGCCTCCTCCCTCCCGGCCTCGGGCTCCTCCCGGCCTCCTCCCTCCCAGGCTCCGGGCTCCAGCTGCTCCTGGCGCAGGAGCAGGTGCAGCCCCTCCCGCCCCCTCATCCCTTCGGGCCCCGCCCTGTCTCTCCCGCGCCAGCCGCGCCCCCGCCCTCCCCTGACATTCCCATTCCTCCCCCCCGCCCTCCTTCCCCGCCCCTCCCCCGCCGCCAGCCCCGCCTCCCGGCGCCCGCGGCCCGGCGGAAAGACCGGAGGCGCCCCGAGTCCCGGGAGGTGGACTTGGCACCCCCGGCCCCGCGGCCCGGGCGCCCCCTCCCGCCCCTTTCGGCATGGAGTCTGCGGGGCGCGCGCAGGCGGCGCGGGACCGCGTCCCCAGGTAGGCGCACGAGGCCCGGGCGCTCCTGGCCCAGCCCGGGGTAGCGGGCGCGAGTGCCGGTGGCGTGGAGCCGGCGGGCGCGGTGGTGCCCGGCGCCTGCGCGCCCCTGGGCGGCCCCTGCGCTGCGCACGCGCCCGCGCTCGGCCCGCCGCCCCTTCCTGCACCCGGGAGGGTGGGGGGGAACACGCGCCCCCCACGGGGGGCCCCGGGCGCCGGGCGCCGCAGGTCCCACGTTCCACGTGCGCGCGGAACTTTACTCTGGGTCTTTTTGTGTCGTAGGATCGATCCGTACGGGTTTGAAAGGCCTGAGGACTTTGATTATGCAGCTTATGAAGAATTTTTTTCCACCTATCTGGCGATACTCACCAGAAGAGCCATAAAATGGTCCAAACTGCTAAAGGGAGGCGCTGGTGTCCAGAAGAGTGTGACACGTGAGTTCGGAGCCTGATCCTCCAGGCGCGCAACAAGTGACCCGACCGACGGGTGACGGGCGCGCCAGGGGGGTCAGGGCTTGGGGTTCCTTCGGGTCTCGGATCTCGGGGGGAAGGCTGCCGCGAGCCCGGCTCGTATCCCGCGCAGGCTCGCAGGTGAGGGCGCTGCACGGTCAAGGTGCAGGCCCTCCTTTCTTCCCTCCGGCATGAGGCCTGCTTGTCCTTTGAGATGGATGGAGACCATGGCCTTCTTTCCAGAAGAATGTGGATTTCCTGCTCCTCCAAATGAGAGTGGCCAGGGCTGTGCCCTTGCGCGGTTCTGGGCAGAGCTCTCCCTGACCCCCGCAGAGTGAAAGCGGGGTCCTTCCTGCACCCCCCCCACCTCTTCCCCTGCTCTCCTTGGGGTTCTTCCCCAGCCCCAGGCTGTGCCCTCGCCTCCTTCAGGTCTGGATTGGATTGCCACCTCCAGGAGGCTTTCCCGTCTCACCCCACAGCCCCACACTTCCTGTCCTTTCTTTGCCTATTTTCTGTTCCTCCCTGTCTTATGCGGTGTGGGTCCTGCTTATTTTATCCTTTGTTTCCCCTGCTGGGATCAAAGACCCCTCCCTGCTGGCTGGCTTGAATGGATGATTGCTTCAGTGTTTGTTGAATGAATGAATGGAGTGTTTGCCTGCAGTGTTCCTCGTGCTGTGGATAGAGGGTAGACCGTGGGTACCTGCGGGCAGGTGGTGAGGGGTGGACGGGGATGTGCCCCGGGGAGCTAAGGAAACTCAAGTATGTGGGGCAGAGGGGCTGCTGGGGCTTCCTGACCTGGGACATTAATGACAATTAAGGGGTGAGGGTGGGGGTCCCAGCCACCAGGTACTGAGTTGTGACCAGAGTATTAGGGGTGTGGTGAGGAGGGCCCAGCGGTGGAACAGGGGCCCTGCACCAGGTCACAGGTGGGCACACGTTGCACCACCAGGCAGAGAGAAGTCAGTGTTTAAGTAAGGGGGTGACAGGTCAATTTTTGCCTTTAAAGGGGCCCCCAGAGGGGCCCCAGTACGCAGGAGATGCTTGGGAAATACTTGTGGGATTAATACGGGGGGGTGGGGTGGAGGCAGGTGGACCTGGACCTCGGCCTCACCCTGGGCTTCACCCTCAACCAGGCCCTCCCTCCTCAAGGCTGTTACTGGTGGGCAGTGTTTAGTAAAAACATGGGTAAACTAGTGTTTCATATAATCATCAGCCTGAAGGGGCCTCAAAGGTTGACCCTTCTTGCTTTCCAGACCCCGAAGCTAATATCCTGCATGATTGGACGCCGAGGTCCATCCCTGCGTTGCTGCTGGTGTTAACGTGTTTCCAGCAGACCTCGGCTTCATTTTTCCCCTTTGGATTTGTTTTTAAACGTTACACACAAATATATAAAAATAAATGTAATTTTTGCACATGGGAAAACATCGTAATCACACTAAAAGATGCGAATTGAATTGAGTTTCTCTGCTGCCCAGGCCCCAGTCTCCCGTAGAGGTGACCGCTGGTGACTGTCCCACGTCCCCCCCAGGAACAGGGCGCACTCTCGGGCTGTTGTTTGCTTTTTAATGCAGGACCAACCTAGACCCAGGGGTCCAGCTGACCCACAGGTCAGTTAACGCAGAGAATCATGGCAAGATGTACATGTGCGCATGAGCCTTTGTTTTTATATGAAACACACGTGCATGTTTATTCCTCTTTGATTTTGTCGTTTGATTCTATCCTGTCATCTTTTCTTTGAACAGGGAGGGTCCACCAATTCTGTATCTTTCCTGCCGGAGCCGTACTTAACGCGTGTATCTATTTTCCAGTGTCGGGGTCTTTTTTTCCAGGTGGATCGGGAGTAACAGCACTCTGAGTGCAGAATCCTTCCAGATCTCTAGTCTTTTCCTCGACTTTTGAGGTGGTCTGATTTAAAGGTTTTGTTTTGTTTTTGCTTTTGCCTTTTGGAGCACTTATCAACTTTTTCTGAAAATTTAACTTGCTTTTATTGAAGTAACAATTATTTTTCTGCTTTAATTTTTTTTTTTTTTTTTTTTTTTTTTGCGGTATGTGGGCCTCTCACCGTTGTGGCCTCTCCCGTTGCGGAGCACAGGCTCCGGACGCGCAGGCTCAGCGGCCATGGCTCACGGGCCCAGCCGCTCCGCGGCATGTGGGATCCTCCCGGACCGGGGCACGAACCCGTGTCCCCTGCATCGGCAGGCGGACTCTCAACCACTGCGCCACCAGGGAAGCCCTTTTGCTTTAATTTTTAAAAAATATATGCAACCTTCGTTAAACTGTCTGATCATGGCAGCGAGTATACTTGGCGTACAGGTTTAGGAGCAAATATACTTGATCCCTGGTGAGCCTTTGGCCTGGGGATGGGGTCACCGTCGAGCTGAAGCGGAGAGCATAGTGACCTGAAGTTCTTTCAGGAAATCCAGCGAGAGGCATGTGGGCTCGCAGGGTTCTGTGGGCCAGGGCGTTGCCACTGGAGCTGGTGTGGCTTCCGGGTGTGACGGCCGGGGAGGCTGCAGCACCCACAGGGCTCCGAGGGAGGGGCAGTCGGCATAGACAGCAGTGGACGTGTGATCCAGGAAATGGACATCCAGTTTTTTCCTGCCAGACGTTCCGGGCTGGCCGTGGTGCCGTCAGGGGTGTGGCATCCCAGGGAGGGGAGGCCGTGTGAGGGCTGTGGGACCCAGCTTGTGCGGTCAGAGCCAGGCAGCCGCGTTTGGAGCCCTGCCCCTGACACCAGCAAGCACGCCCGAAGACCACCTTTGCTCTCGTGCCTTCACCGTTTCTGGCTTTTTGGGTCCTACTGTGTTCGTTCTCTTTTTCTGAGAGGACTTCGGTCTTGTCTCCAGTCACACGATTACCCACAAATCCTGGCATCCAGCAAGTCTTCAGATGACAGCTGAAACTCACCTTGCTTGAGGACGCTAGCTATGGATACGATGAAGCTTTTCTTCTTCTTTTTCTTTGTCTGTGGCGAGTATCCACCGGGAGCCTGAGATCGCTTGCTCTCAGTGCTCGACCTGGAAGCTGCCTTTACGTTCCTTTCCACCTTGGTGTAAAGGCACTTGGTGAGGGAAAAGCTCCGTCCCGTTTGCTTCTTCTATGTCTCCTGCCTGGTGGGCTAGGGTATTAGCACCATCTAAATGAGAATGAAGTTGCAAAACATATTTTAAAGACAAATATAAAAAACCTGGGAATCTGCTTAACTTTTTGGGGCAGACGGCTGGGAGTTAATTCTTTGCGGCTTTTACCATATATTTTACGCTCCTCCAAATGTCCAGGAGGACGCATGGGTTAGCCCTGCCCTTGGGGAAGCGTCAGTCTCTGAGGATGGGAAAACCGTTTTCTTTCTCTTCCAAAGAAACTTAGTAAATTCAGATAACAAACAACGAGAATAACAGAAGCCTTTATTCTCTGAAACTTCTGGGTGTTGTTACTGCTCTTAAGGCAGCCGAGAGCCCCGAGTCCTGACTGTGTTTCAGGCACTGGGCTGTGCTTTGTTCCCATTTCACAGGTTAAGAGACTGAGGCCTGCTCAAGGTTGGGGCTGGTGAGGCACAGTGTGAGGGGTTTAACCAGTGTGCACTTTCCTTTTTATACCTTATATTAATTTTAAAAACTTTGCAGTGACATTCGCTCTTCTTGGCGTACAGGTCTGTGAGTGTAGACAAGTGCAGTTAGGTAATCCCCGCCGCAGGTGAGGTTCAGAACAGTCGGTCGCCTTCAGGAGCCCCTCCTGCGCGGTCCTGGGCAGCTGACCTGCAGGCCTGGACGTCGGCAGAGGCCTGGGTGGGTGTGGCGGCAGCTACAGGGCAGCGGGAGGGACCCTGAAGGTGTATTGGCGTCTCTCTCCGTTTATGTAGTTCTTTGATTTCTCTTGCAGATGTTTTGTTAGATTTATATCTAAATATTTCTCCTTTCATTTTTGGTGCTATCGTAAGTGATACTGTCTCAGTGTTTTTATTTCAGCGGTTTGCTGTTCATACGTGGAGTTACTGTTGATTTCTGCGTGTCCTTTCCTTTTGCTCCGTCTCAGTGGGAATGGCCCCTTCCCAAGTTAGGCCTGACCTGTCCGTCCCCTTGCTGTTGCGTGAAGAGGATTAATTCACTCTGGGTGCGGCTGGTCACGCTGACCCCTGAGGGCTCCTGTAAATTGTACTAAGTTGGAGGGTAGACTTCAAAACGTCCCGTCCCCATAACAGAATGACCAGACCAAGCCACGCTGGCCAAGACGTTCTGGCCCAGACGCGATCCTACGACATGCTTCTAAACTGGCAAAGGGTTTCTCGAGTTTTCTTTGCCTTTGGTGGATGTTGTTAAAATCTGTCCTTTCCTTCCTCTGGGCATCCCTCGTCATCCGCATCCTTCTGCACACGCTTGCCGTGCGTTTCCTGTCCCACACGCCCTCCCAGGAGCGGGCAGTGCTCGAGGCATGGCCTCCGGGAAGCCTCTTTTCAGGTGCTCCCGTACAGGTGACCGTCAGTTTGAGTGACAAGATTTTAGCGATGCTGCTTTTCTTGACCACAGCCTATAACCTTTTTCTGTTAAATACGGCTGGTGCCTCCGCGTCCGGCACAGGCCGAGGAGCGGGCAGGGTGGGGAACGGAGGTGACCCTCACAGCCCGTATTCTTGTGCTGACAGCGAGCTAGAGGTAGCAGGGTTGCTGTAGCCTCCGGACTGTGCTTAGCCTGGGGACGGAGAACGGAATTCTGTAACGAGCGCATATATCAATTTGGTGGAGGTGCGTGAAGTTTTGCACCTTTTTTTTTTTTTTTTTTTGCGGTACGCGGGCCTCTCACTGTTGTGGCCTCTCCCGTTGCGGAGCACAGGCTCCGGACGCGCAGGCTCAGCGGCCATGGCTCACGGGCCCAGCCGCTCCGCGGCACGTGGGATCTTCCCGGACCGGGGCACGAACCCGTGTCCCCTGCATTGTCAGGTGGACTCGCAACCACTGCGCCACCAGGGAAGCCTTGCACCTTTTTTTATGTCTGATTGAATGATTTCGGCGAGAGCCAGAAGCAAACTCTCTGGTTTCTGGCCTCGGGAAGCGCCCAGCGGTCTGGGTAAAGCTGCCCCTTCCCTCCGTTTCAGTGAAGCGCTACATCCGGAAGGGCGTCCCGCTGGAGCACCGGGCCCGCGTCTGGATGGGGGTGAGCGGAGCCCAGGCCCAGATGGACCAGAACCCCGGCTACTACCTCCATCTCCTCCAGGGAGAGAAGGATGACAGCCTGGAGGAGGCCATCAGGACAGGTGACGCACGGGGTCCGTCCCCCGGGATATGGGGGCTGGGCGCCACCCCCAGAAGGAAACTGTGTTAGCACCCGGTGATGCTGTGATGTTGATGAGGAAAGTTCCGTGGTTAAAGCTGATTTCAGTTTTCTGAAAGGCAGTCACGAGGGGAGGAGAGTGACTTGAACCGGCTCAGGAAATATTTGTGTGTCTAGCTAGGTGGTAAGGAAAACGGTGCCAGAAAGACCACATTTCTGAGAAGAATCCCTCCAGGAACGCGAGGCCGCTGAGCTAGCAGTCAGTACAGGAGGGACGTGGGCTGGGTGACCCCCGCGGACTCGCAGACACAGCTGCGCGCGTGCAGGAAGCCACACACCAGAGACCTCTCTTTATGTCATACTCTGAGTGTCCAGGCTCTTCAGAGTTCAAAGTACTCAAAGAAATGTTTAACCTGGATTGAATAATTAGATTTTTAGGAAATACATCTGCCTCTCTGACTGTAACAGCTTTTGAGAACTACAGATTTAAACACAAATACTTCATTTAAAAAATTTGATTATTTTATATGTCAGAGAGGTTGGACTGACTTGTAACGTTGAGAAAGTGGTGTGTCCCCAGCGTGAGAGCTGGAGACGGGGTGGGGGGCACTGGGGCACTGAGCCTGCTGGCTGCACCCTGATGCCACGGCAAACCCCGGCCTAAGGGCTCAGAACAGAGGCTGCCATGGCCCTGCGGGCACACGTGCGGGGGTCCCTCCGCAGGGCCAGACGTGCTGATTCAGGGCGGGAAGAGACCTCAGGTCCAAGCGAAGGCCGATCGTGTTAAATAAGGTAGAATGTGGCTGTTTGTTTGAAAAATGAATTTTAAAGGATCTATTTAGTGCAGAGTTTTTGGATACATAAAATTGACCTTTCTGTCTTTCCAAACTGAACCTCTGTCCCCATTAAACACTAACTCCCCATCCCCTCCCCCGCCTCCCACCATCCACTCTCTGTCTCTACGAATTTGACGCCTCTAGGGACTTCATGTGGCTGGAATGACACAGTATTTGTCCTTTTGCGTCCGGCTTATTTCACTGAGCGTAATGGCCTCGAGGTTTGGCCTCAAGGTTCACCCACGTTGAGCGTGTGTCGGGATTCCCTTCCTTTCTGAGGCTGAACAACGTTCTGTTATGTGTAGAGACTGCGCTATGTTTACCCATCATCTGTCCACGGACGCTTGGTCTGCTTCCAGCCTCTGGCCACTGTGAGTTATGCTGCACGCACGGGGGTGTGCAAGTCATTCTTTGAGACCCTGCTTTCAGTGTTCTGGGTACATGCGCAGAAGGGGAATTGCTGGGTCCTGTGACGATTCTAGGTCTACTTTTGAAGGGTCTGGATCAGTCGTTTTATAGGGACAGTAGAGCGGGTGCTTCGTGCCACGGAAGTGCAGACCAAACGTCCCGCTGCGTCTGCCTCCAGCACGGCAGTGGGGTAGGCGTAGAGAGATTTCAGAACACGGAGAAACGTCTCATCATAGAAGGCGTTACGTGGCCACGAGCACTGATCACTCGAGTCTGAATTAGTGAAAAGCACACAATTCCCTGTGGTGGATGCCAGTGTTTGGAAGGTTCAGAATTCCAGGAAAAAACTCTTCTTTGTAAAAAACATACAATGAAAACTTACGTGCTTTGAGGCAGGCAGTGTGCTGTTCAGCTCAGAGCTGGTTTTCGTGGGCAGAGACCAGGCCTGGGCCAGAGCCCGGGGGCAGAATTCCTGCAGCAGTGGGGAGGCCTCCAGCCGTCAGCTGTGTCCGAGAGTCCCGCTGTCACGTGGACACCATTGCTCTGATCCAAGCAGGGCCAGCGGTTGTTAGTTGACCCCCGCCCTCCTTAAGGCAGGCGTCCGGCCCGGGCGGGGAGGGGGGCCAAGCAGCAGCAAGAGGCGGCCGGACTGTCCTGCAGACAGAAGCCGGCGGCGATGAGCTTATCTCGGGCTGGACTGTCCTGCAGACAGAAGCCAGCGGCGATGAGTTTATCTCGGGCTCAGTTTTCCCTTTTGTCTGTTTCTCTCTAAACGGGAATCTCAGGGTGTCCTGCCTTCTTATGTGTTCAGTCTTCAGAACTGGGAAAATTCTCCGAAGTTTTATGTAACCTGTTCACCTGTCACCCCACCTCATCCCCGGCTAAGCGGGGGGCGCAGGGATGGCAGGAACCGCCAGGGCCCGAGCAGCCCAGCCTTATCCAAGGATCCCGCTCTGTCGTCTTTGCTGACTCCAGAGGAAGGGCTGCTGTGCCCACCTGTGTCCCCGGGCCGGGCTGCCGCGGGACAGGGGCCCCGGGGGGCCGCCTCTGCGCTCCCGAGGCCAGCTGATGGTGGAGGTCAGGAAGGGTCCGGGTCCGTCGCAGAGCCGTCTCTGTCCCCAGCCCTGAGCGGCCTGCGCCGCGGATTTCCTCACAGACATGAACAGGACCTTCCCTGACAACGTGCGGTTCCGGAAGGGCTCGGACCCCTGCTTGCAGAGGACCCTGTACAACGTGCTGCTGGCCTACGGGCACCACAACCGTGGCGTGGGCTACTGCCAGGTGAGCCCCCGGTGCCTGCAGCCCCGACAGGGACGTCAGCCTGGTCCTGGGCTGCCAGGTCCTCCCTGACACAGGCTGGGACTTCACCATCTCCCAGCAGTGCCAGCCACGGAGACGGGGCGGGGGGAAGGGGAAGCAGCTGAGTGAACACAGGCTGCGGTGACCAGCATCCTCTCGTCCTGGTGCAGATGGTGGGCACGTGTGTGTGTGTCTGAGCGTGCACGCGTGCGGTGGGCCAGCCCTTTGAGGCTGTTTCCGGAAGCCGGATCAGCCGGCACTAGGAGGTGACAGGGGTCGTGCTTCCTGCTGCGTGGAGCTGCCCGTCAGGTGGCAGGAATCAGTTCTCGTTCCTCCCTGGAGACTCTCCTTCTGGAGCGTCGAAGGGACAGTGTTCACGGCCTGGATAGCGAGGGGAGCTGGGTCGGGAGGCGAAGGGACCGCACCCTCCCGCCGTGCACTCCGGAGGCTGCCGGGTCCCGGCGGGTGTGGGCAGGGGCCAGGGGCTGCGGCTGGGGGCTCCTGTCCCTGTGTGTGAGGCCCCTGTGCCCCCCGAGCCGGAGGCCAGGCCAAAGTGTCCCCGAGAGGAAGACAGGCCCTGGGCAGTAGCACCTACGGCCCCCGGCGGCTCCAGGGCTGGGACCACGAGCACCGGGCCGGGAGCAGGGGACACGGATGCCTACTCGGGGCGGCCCCGGCAGCTCGTGTCCCATGTGGACGGCACGTGGTGTGGCCTCGGCTCCAGGGGGACGGGGGGGTCACGGGAAGGAGTGAGGCAGGAGCTTTGAAAAGACCAGCAGCAAAGACACGTGAGCACGCCGTTCACAGAGCGGCCGGTGTGATCCCCAGGTTGTTTTCAGGCCGCTGTTCCGCAGCGGGTACATGCGGGAAAGACGCAGCTGGGCGGATCTGTTCTTCCGAGGTAATCCCTGTCGCTGTCACTTGTTACGACTGCCCTTAACGTCCTGTCCTGGGGCAGGAGCTGGGCTTCAGGAGTCGGGGAGACAGGGCAGCTGAGAAACTGTCCTTAGATTATTCTAGCTGCTGTTCTTGTGGGTCTTAAAAATAGGGTTAAAAAATAACCCACACAATTTTAAACATGAGCCTGATGGAAATACACGCATGTATGTACACACACACACACACACACACACACACACACACACACACACGTATGAGCTTCCTGTGGGTGCCTGACATCGTGCCGCCGGCTGAGAGGTGCACAGGACAGGAGTCGATCGTCTCTCAGCCCCGCAGGCAGGAGTCCGAGGTCCGGGGGTCGGGGAGCTGGCTTCTCCATGGCTGTCTCGCTGGTGACCCGTAGCCTCTGTGGGGGTTGTGTCTGGGTCCAAATTCAACTTGTTGGTTGACGAGAGCTGGATTTTCCCCTTATTGCTAGAGAAATACGTGTTTATTTTAGAAGTTGTAGAGAAGCAGCAAAGAAGAAAGTGGAAGTCACCCGAAACCCAGCCTCGCAGGAGGGGCGCTGACTCGGCGCTCGGCCACCGCTGCTCCTTTCCGGGTCCGCCCGCCCCTGGCGGCTGAGGGTCCTGAACTGTGTGTACATGGCAGCGTCTGCCCCCTTGGCGCTGTGCACCCTGAATTTCCCCAAATGGGCTCTATCACGAGATTCCACTTCAACGTCCCCGCGCGTCAGACCACGCGCCCTACCGCTCTTAGGAAGTGTGGTCACTGGTGCAGTTTCCCCCCAATAGTTTAATGAACACGAGGCCCTGGCCTGCTCTAAGTCAGGAGTCATGGGCCCAGCTACACGTGTCGCTAGACGGCAGAGCCTCAGACGCCGTCGCTCCACTGAAGGGTCGTTCCAGAATCAGGCAAGCTTTAGGGAAGAGCCAGGGACACGGAAAGTTAGCCGTTAGCCGGGCGATTACAGAGTCTGCGGGTGGTCCAGACCTCAGTGAGTTCCTTTGGTTCTTTTGTCTAATTTCAGGGAATGAACTTTCTAGCGGGCTATCTGATTCTGGTGACAAGGAGTGAAGAGGAGTCCTTTTGGCTGTTGGACGCCCTTGTTGGCAGAATACTCCCGGGTACGTTGAGTCCTCGCGGTAAGAGCGGAACTGTCGCTTTCTGGTGTTGCTGAAACGATGTCACTGACAAGTCAAGACATGACGAAACGGAAGGAACTGTCTGAGAGTCGAGGTCGAAAACCTTCTTGCAGTTGAGTTGAGATAGGAGCGCGATAGATGCAGGTCCCAGCAGGCAGCGATGCGTCTCGGGGCCCGGCCGTGGCCGAGTGGGCTCTGAGCTCCTCGTCCGGGTCTGCGCCGCTGGCGTCTGGACCGTGGGGACTGTCACGGCCGTAGTGAGCAGGCCGGCGAGCGGCCGGGCTTCTGTAGCCTTCGTTGCTGGGCTCGTGAATGGCCATGGGCGCAGTGACCGTCAGCTGTTGTGGCTACTGCTTTCGAGGTGAAGATCATTCCTCTCGTGCATTTCTACTTTTCTGTTTATTACTGAATGTTAATTGTTTTACTGAATAAACCACCACCGGTTTCTGTGATGCGCCGCGTAGACGGTGAGCTGCAGAGTAGGGTCCCTTTGGGACAAGAAGTGGCCGGAGCCGTCTGGGGTGGGAGAGGACTTGGGCAGATGTGACCCCCCACAGCCGCGATGGTGGTGCTTGGTCCAGCCGCTGGCAAAGTCCTGGTGACTGTGGACGGGCTCCGGCTGCCCACGCGACGAGCCCTGGTGGTCTTGTCTGCTGTGCCCGCCTCCCCCAGGACCACCCGGGAGAGCAGCCGCCCGTCCTGGAGGCTGCGTGTTCGGATGCGAGGGCGGCCGGGGCCCGTCCAGGCTCCAGGCTCGCCTGCACCCGCTCTCGTCTGGTCCGTGGAGCAGCCACACCATACATGCCAACCACCGAGTCCCCTTCACGGACGGCAGCACGGAGGCCTGGGCTCAGATCCACAGCTCTGGGCCCCCGGGAGGTGAGCCTGGGCGGTGCCGTGAAGAGGGGCCCTCTCCTCGGGCCTGTGCCGCTGTTAGCAAGGGCTGGGGGGATGCCGCCCGCGGGGACGGAGGACGGAGAGGGGCAGCTGCCCCGGCTTCATGGCGGAGCCTGAACAGCTGTCGGGGAGAAGATGGACAGGCTTCCAGACAAAACGCCAGCACGGCTCCGTGGTCGCCGTTTGCTCAGTTAGGCCAGAGGCTGCATTTTGATGAACGTTCCCACCGTGACCGATCCCAGGGGCTCTTCGGGGGTTTGGGGAAGCCTGGTGGCAACACAGCAGCGGGACCGAGATCAACAGAGGCCGTAAGGGCCGACCTAGAGGAACAGAAACGCAACGGTGGCCCCTGGGGTGGTGCGTCGCACAGGCTTATTTTAAGGCCATAAAGTGTCATTTCTGATGATTATTAGGTTCAGTCAACTAAACTACAGTGGAAATAGGCCCATCCTTCTGCAAGGGCAGGGCATCGTGGCCGGGCTTAGATCACAGGATGGCCCAGACCGAAAATGGCTTCTTTTACGTCAAGGTAGTTATGTCTGGGTCTCTTCCTCGGGGGAACCCCTAACCTATCTGCCCTCAGACTGCCGAGCCTGCAGAGAAGGGACGGGGGGTGGGATGGGCCGGGCCAGCTCGGGATGTCACATTGGTGATGAGTCAGCCCACTTACGAACGAACACGCTTGCGTCCTGAGAGCTGGTCTGACCCGTTTCCCCTTGAGACACAGGGGAGCCGGGCGACGATTGCCCCTCCCGGGAGCAGCCCTGCTGAAGCCAGAAGGCGTGGCCCAGACAAGGGCGGGCAGGGCTCATTGTGGGGGCGACAGTACCCGGGCCCCCCGGGCCCACCTGCCCCTGCAGCAGCGCTCCCCTCTCCACGTGCTGACACAGCCGTTGGGCTGTTTGCAAAGTGAGGCGACCCCGGGAGTGGCCTGGCTCGGGGAGAAGGTCCTTGGCATCTGTGCACAGGCCGGCCAGGCTGAGGGGGGCTGCATGCGGGGCCTGGCCCGTGGGGGTCGCCATCAGCGGCTCACGGCAAACGGGGGCACGGGGGCGTCAGCGACCCTCCTGTGACTGGCTCAGGCCTGCGGCGGGTGTGGGGTGTGACCTTGACTATTTTGGGAGCTGCCCTAAGCCTGTCTGTAACCGAGAACGAGGCCGTGCTGTGCTCACGGCTCCGCAAATCCGCTGTCTCTGCCGCGCTCTCCTGAGACGGCTCAGCACCTGCAGGACGGGAAGCGGAGCCTGCCCCTCGCCCCCGGGACCAGAGCCAGAGCGCTGCTAGTTGAGAGGACAGGACAGCCAGCGGCCCTAGGGTTTAGGAACAGAAGTGAGAGGAGGGTATGGGAGGGAAGGAAGCTTCAGTCCCAGGTATTTATAACTGAACAGGCTTCTAGTAACTGATTTCTGGGGTCTTTAGTACTGAGCGTGGTTTAGTGTGTGCACGCGCTCTGAAAACCGGTGGTGTGACTGATGTCGTGTCGATACTCATAATGATTCTATTTTAACCCAAATACTTAATTAACAAGAACGTCTTTCCCTTTGCTGTGGTGAATGACCAAACTGTGTGTGGCAGCGGGCACAGAACGCGTACCAAGTTTTCCTATTTTATTATTTTTTAAAATTTTTATTTATTTATTTTTGGCTGTGTTGGGTCTTCGTTGCTGCGCGTGGGCTTTTCTCTAGTTGCGGCGAGCAGGGGCTACTCTTCGTTGCGGTGCGCGGGCTTCTCGTTGCCGTGGCTTCTGTTGTTGTGAAGCATGGGCTCTGGGCACGTGGGCTTCAGTAGTGTGGCCTGCGGGCTCAGTAGTTGTGGCTCGCGGGCTCTAGAGCACAGGCTCAGTAGTTGTGGCACGTGGGCTCAGTAGTTGTGGCTCGTGGGCTCTAGAGCACAGGCTCAGTAGTTGTGGCATGTGGGCTCAGTAGTTGTGGCTCGTGGGCTCTAGAGCACAGGCTCAGTAGTTGTGGTGTGTGGGCTCAGTAGTTGTGGCTCACGGGCTGTAGAGTGCAGGCTCAATAGTTGTGACACACGGGCTTAGTTGCTCCACAGCATGTGGGATCTTCCCGGGCAGGGCTCGAACCCGTGTCCCCCACCTTGGCAGGTGGATTCTTAACCTCTGCGCCACCAGGAAAGACCCCCTGTTTTATTATTTTATTTTATTCCTGTTTTTACAGCAAAGTTTAAGCTGTCATGTATTATAATACATGACATTAAGCTAGAAAATTCCTTGGCAAGAAAGTGTCCATTCAAAAGAGAGTGTTGGAAGCATTGGTCTGTCTGATGCTCTCCTGTAACGTTCACCTGCATCTTCTCCATGAGAGGAAAATAGGACACGTGACACAAGAGTGTGTGGGGGGGGTGCCCAGGACACTCTTGGGGGGGGGTGCCAGGACGCTCACACGTTTGGTTTTCCTGTCCATCCATCAGCGGACACTTGGTTGCCCCCACTGTTGGCTGCCTGATCTTGGGTTGCAAACGCCCCTGCTTTCCATCAGGTTGTGACGGATGCCCAGCGGGGCACTGCTGTCCAGAGTGCTGGGACCCGGGGCCCCACTCTGGGCATTGCTCCCAGGAGTTCCTGCATCCCTGTGGCTGGGACCTTGCCCTGGGTCACCCTCTGGAAAGGGTCGCTGGGCGTGGCCCCCCTCACGGCTCAGGGGGAACGAGGGTCACGGGTGTCAGGGGCTATGGTTTGTGCGGTCCACGTCCCCGCTTCTCCCCTGTCCCCGTGCAGATTACTACAGCCCCTCGATGCTGGGCCTGAAGACGGACCAGGAGGTCCTCGGGGAGCTGGTAAGGACCAAGCTGCCGGCGGTGGCGGCCCTGATGGACAGTCACGGCCTGCTGTGGACCCTGGTCGTGTCGCGCTGGTTCATCTGCCTGTTTGTGGACGTCCTGCCCGTGGAGGTGAGGGCGCCTGGCTCGGACTGGGGCCGACTAGGCGGCCACGTGCTGACCCGCTGTCTCTTCCTCTGCAGACCGTGCTTCGCATCTGGGATTGTCTGTTCAACGAGGGCTCTAAGATCATCTTCCGGGTGGCGCTGACCCTCATCAAGGAACATCAGGCCTTGATCTTGGAAGCCACCAGCGTCCCCGACATCTGCGAGAAGTTCAAGGACATCACCAGAGGGAGCTTCGTGACCGAATGCCACACCTTCATGCGGGTGGGTGTCAGCGCCCTGCTGCCTCCCTGCATGGGCCGCCCGGCCCTCCCCCCTAAGCAGCCCAGGGAGGGGCTCCAGCCCTTCCAGGCCAGCTTTTCCTGGAGCCCGGGGTGCCCAGCAGACCCAGGGTGCTCACCCTTGCTCCCCTCCTACGCCGTCAGCCCAGGGGTGGGGCCGGGTGCCACCTGGGGCCCCCCAGGGAGCCCCGTCACATCCACACCTTGGTTTCTCCCGGGCCTGGGAGGTGACCGCCCCCATCCCAGGCTTTCCCGATGACCCGGTCTACACCGGGCCCCCCATTTCTGTTCAGCCCTACGCCTGTTGACTTCTCTCCGGCCTTGGTGGGGTCACGCCTGTCTGTCCCTCCCCGCTGGGTCCCGGGCCTGGCGCAGGCCGTGTGGACAGCTCAGATCACCTGAGTGAACGAAGTGGATGCTGCGTCCCGCAGGCCCAGGGGGGCGGGGTTTACAGGGACACTGGGACACTGGGATGGGGGGGCGAAGCCCAGGCCTGGAGTGACCCTGGGAGGGGGGAGCGCTGACCCAGACGCCCGGCTGTTGTGTTCTTCAGCTTCCAGTTTGAAACAGCTGCACTGATGGCGTGCCCCCTCCCCCGCCCCCCAGGGTAAGAGGCCCTGACGAGGAGGTCCCGCAGCCTAGGGCTGTTAGGTGTTTGGTTTCAGTGAGTGAAGGCCCCGGTACAATTCACCCTTTACCTGGAGATTTCAGAGCTCTTCAGTGCCTTCCGCTCAGCGGGTGGTGCAGCTGCGTCCCTGGGCCCGGGCGTTTTCTTCTCCCCAAAGGGCGCCCCAGCCCCAGCTAACGCCCTGCTCTGTCCCCGTGGCTCGGCCTCCTGGACTTTGGCACAAATAGAGTCAGACAGTGCAACTCTGGCGTCCGGCCCTTGGACTCGGGCTGATGCCTCCGAGGTGGTGCGAGTCTGTCTGTGGAGCAGGGCCCCCGCACGCAGTAGGTGCTCAGTTAGTGCGGGCGCCTGGCCTGCTCGTGTGATGGCTGCGGGCGGACGTGTGTCCACGGCGGGTGTGGCCGGTGTTCCAGCCCAAGGTGTTCTGGGCCCTGTGAGCTGATGGACGCAGAGGATTGGCGGGGTGGTCTCCCCACACGGCAGAAAAGCCACTGCGTAAAGACATGTGTCTGCCCACGACAGGTGTGGCCATCATGGGACGCTGGCCGGGAGGTGGCCCTGGTCTTATTTTCTCAGGGGTCGCTACAAAGTTGTATATGCATTTCAGCAAAACTGCAGTTCATAGGTCAAACCTCTCTGAAATCCTGTGTGAGAACATCTAGAATTTCCTTGAGAATGAAAGCCATGATCTCATTGGCAGCTGAGAGCAACGTAACGGGAAGAGGACAGCTGAACGCATCTGAAGAGTCTGTTCTCAGGGCATCGCCCGCTCAGAACTTGCTCCCAGGTGCTCCCACCCCGCCCCCCAGGCGCCTTCTCTCCTCCTCGTTGTGAAGCAGTTTCTCTGTTACTGGAAGCAAGTCTGAGTCCCTTCCTGCTTCCACTTCTCAAATCTGGTTTCTTCCTTGCTTAGTCTGCTCACTGACGGCCCTGACCGGCTTCCGAGCTGCTGCGGGCAGAGTCAAAACGAAAAGAGCCCACGCAGGAAGGGCAAAAGCAAAATCAGGGCTTCTGTGCAGCAACGGACACCAGCAGCAGAGTGAAGAGGGAACTCACGGAACAGGAGAGACTGTGCACACCACGGCTGCTAAGGGGTCAACATCCAGACACACAGAGACCACAGCACAACAAGGAGCCAAGGAATTACATTTAAAAATGGGCAGAGCGGATTTCTCTGGTGGCGCAGTGGTCAGGGGACACAGGTTCCTGTTCGAGCCCTGGTCTGGGAAGATCCCACATGCCGCAGAGCAGCTAAGCCCATGCGCCACAACTACTGAGCCTGTGCTCTAGAGCCTGTGAGCCACAACTACTGAGCCCACATACCACAACTACTGAAGCCCGCATACCTAGAGCTTGTGCTCCACAACAAGAGAAGCCCACGCACCGCAACGAAGACCCAACACAGCCATAAATTTTTAAAAAAGAAAAAGAAAAATGGGCAGAGGGACTTCACTGGCGGTCCAGTGCTTAAAACTCCACGCTTCTAAGGCAGGGGGCACAGGTTTGATCCCTGGTCAGGGAGCTAAGATCCCACATGCCGTGCAGTGTGGCCAAAATGTTTTTAAAAAAGTTTTAAATGGGCAGAGGGCCTGAGTAGATCCTATCCAAAAAAGACATACAGGTAGCCAACAGGTACACGAAAAGATGCTCACTATCGCTCGTCATCAGGGAAATGCAAGTCAAAACCACAGTGAGCTATCGCCTCACACCTGGCAGAATGGCCATCATCAAAAAGACCACAAATAACAAATGTTGGTGAGGATGTGGAGAAAAGGGAACCCTATTCATACATTGTTGGTGGGAATGTAAATTGGTGCAGGCACTGTGAAAAACAGTATGGAGGTCCTCAAAAGACTAAAAATAGAACTACCATAAGATCCAGCAATCCCACTACTGGGCACTTATCCAAAGGAAATGAAATCAGGGTCTCTAAGAGACCCCAGCCCGCCCACGTTCACTGCAGCATCACAATAGCCAAGGCATGGAAACAACCTGAATGCCCATACAGATGCATGGATAAACAAGACATGGTCCATCCATGCAGCGGGGTTTTATCCAGCCTCGAAAAGGAAGGTCCTGATACCTGCTACCATGTGGATGAACCTGGAGGACATTATGCTTGGTAATTTGTCACAAAAGGACAAAAACTGTCTGATTCCACATATGTGAGGCCCCTGGAGGAGTCAGATTCATAGAGACAGAAGCGGGTTGCTGGGGACAGAGTTGGGTTTGGGAAGATGAGAAGGTTCTGGAGATCCGATGCCCAACATGTGAACATAGCTTACACCACCCAGCCACACACCTGGAGTGGCTAGGATGTAAATTATTGGGTGGGCCAAGAGGTTCGTCGTTTTCTCCGTAAGATGGCTCTAGTAGCACTTAGTTGTCTTTAACTTCATTCAAAACAATTTTGTTCAACAGAGTTTTGGAAGTCCTAGCCACAGCAATTAGAGAAGAGAAAGAAAGAAAAGGAATACAAATTGGAAAAGAAGTAAAACTGTCACTGTTTGCAGATGACATGATACTATACATAGAGAATCCTAAAGATGCCACCAGAAAACTACTAGAACTAATCAATGAATTCGGTAAGGTTGCAGGATACAAAATTAATACACAGAAATCTGTGGCATTCCTATACACTAACAATGAAAAATAAGAAAGAGAAATTAAGGAAACAATCCCATTTACCATCGCAACAAAAAGAATAAAATACCTAGGAATAAACCTACCTAAGGAGGTGAAAGATTTGTACTCAGAAAACTTCATAAAACACTGATGAAAGAAATCAAAGATGACATAAACAGGTGGAGAAATATACAGTGTTCTTGGATTGGAAGAATCAATATTGTGAAAATGACTATGCTACCCAAAGCAATCTGCAGATTCAATGCAGTCCCTATCAAATTACCAATGGCATTCTTTACAGAATTAGAACAAAAAATTTTACAATTCATATGGAAACACAAAAGACCCTGAATTACCAAAGCAATCTTGAGAACGAAAAACGGAGCTGGAGGAATCAGACTCCCTGACTTCAGACTATACTACAAAGCTACAGTAATCAAGACAGTATGGTACTGGCACAAAAACAGAAATATAGATCAATGGTACAGGATAGAAAGCCCAGAGATAAACCCACCCACATATGGGCACCTAATTTATGGCAAAGGAGGCAAGAACATACAATGGAGAAAAGACAGCCTCTTCAATAAGTGGTGCTGGGAAAACTGGACAGCTACATGTGAAAGAATGAAATTAGAACACTCCCTAACACCATACACAAAAATAAACTTCAAATGGATTAAAGACCTAAATGTAAGACCAGACACTATAAAACTCTTAGAGGAAAACATAGGAAAAACACTCTCTGATATAAACCACAGCAAGATCTTTTTTGACCCACCTCCTAGAGTAATGAAAATAAAACCAAAAATAAACAAATGGGACTGAATTAAAAGCTTTTGCACAGCAAAGGAAACCATAAACAAGATGAAAAGACAACCCTCAGAATGGGAGAAAACATTTGCAAATGAAACAACGGACAAAGGATTAATCTCCAAAATATATAAACAGCTCATGGAGCTCAATTTCAGAAAAACAAACAACCCAATTAAAAATTGGGCAGAAGACCTAAATAGACGTTTCACCAAAGAAGACATACAGATGGCCAAAAGACACATGAAAAGATGCTCAACATCACTAATTATTAGAGAAATGCAGATCAAAACTACAATGAGGTATCACCTCACACCAGTCAGAATGGCCATCGTCAAAAAATCTAGAAACAGATTTTTTGCTGGAGAGGGTGTGGAGAAAAGGGAACCCTCTTGCACTGTTGGTGGGAATGTAAATTGATATAGTCACTATGGAGAACAGTATGGAGGGTCCTTAAAAAACTAAAAATAGAACTACCATATGATCCAGCAATCCCACTACTGGGCATATACCCTGAGAAAACCATAATTCAAAAAGAGACGTGTACCACAATGTTCACTGCAGCACTATTTGCAATAGCCAGGACATGGAACCAACCTAAATGTCCATCGACAGATGAATGGATAAAGAAGATGTGTCACATATATACAATGGAATATTACTCAGCCATAAAAAGAATGAAATTGAGTTATTTGTAGTGAGGTGGATGCACCTAGAGTCTGTCACACAGAGTGAAGTAAGTCAGAAAGAGAAAAACAAATACCGTACGCTAACGCATGTATGTGGAATCTAAAAAAAAAAAAATGGTGTTGATGAATCTAATGGCAGAGCAGGAATAAAGATGTAGACAGAGAGAATGGACTTGAGGACAAGACGGGGGATGGGGAGGGGAAGCTGGGGCAAAGTGAGAGAGTGGCATGGACATATATACACTACTAAATGTAAACCAGACAGCTAGTGGGAAGCAGCCGCATAGCACAGGGAGATCAGCTCGGTGCTTTGCGACCACATAGACGGGTGGGATAGGGAGGGTGGGAGGGAGACCCAAGAGGGAGGGGATATGGGGATGTATGTGTGCATATGGCTGATTCATTTTGTTGTGCGACAGAGGCTAGTGCAGTACTGTGAAGCAGTTATACTCCAATAAAGACATGTTTTAAAAAAAAAACAATTTTGTTAGATTGTATTGTGACTGCTGTCATATCAGCATCCTTTTAAGAAAAGACATCAAAATTGGTGAATTTTTGTGTAACCATTTTAATATTGAAGATGGAACGAAAAAAGCAACATTTTCAGCATATTATGCTTTATTATTTCAATAAAGGTAAAAACGCAACCAAAATGCAAAGAGATTTGTGCAGTGTATGGAGAAGGCGCTGTGACTGCTGGAACGTGCCAAAGTGGTCTGCGAAGTTCCGTGCTGGAGATTTCTCGCTGGACGATGCTCCACAGTCGAGTAGACCAGTTGAAGTTGATAGCGATCAAATCGAGACATTAACTGTGAACAGTCAATGTTATACCACGTGGGAGACAGCCGACATCCTCAAAATCTCCAAATCAAACATAAATCATTTGAACCAGCTTGGTTATGTTAATTGCTTTGATGTTCGGGTTCCACGTAAGTTAAGTGAAAAAAAACCTTCTTGACCATATTTCCACATGCAATTCTCTACGGAAACGTAATGAAAACGTTCCGTTTTTAAAACAAATTGTGATGGGCGATGAAAAGTGGATACTGTACAATAATGTGGAATGGAAGAGATTGTGGGGCAAGTGAAATGAACCATCACCAACCACTCGAAAGGCCAGTGTTCATCCAAAGAAGGTGATGCTGTGTATATAGTGGGATTGGAAGGGAGTCCTCTATTATGAGCTCCTTCCAGGAAACCAAACGATTAATTCCAACAAGTACTGCTCCCAATGAGACCAACTGAAAGCAGCACTCGATGAAAAGCGTCCAGAATTAGTCAACAGAAAACAACACATAAATCTTCCATCAGGATAACGCAAGACCGCATGTTTCTTTAATGACCAGGCAAAACTGTTACAGCTTGTTACAGTTTGTAAGTTCTGATTCATCCTCGGTATTCACCAGATGTTACATCTTCGGATTTCCATTTATTTTGGTCTTTACAAAATTCTCTTAATGGAAAAAAATTCAATGCCCTGAAAGACTGTAAGAGGCACCTGGGACAGTTCTTTGCTCAGAAATGTAAAAGTTTGGGGAAGAAGGAATTATGAAGTTGCCTGGAAAATGGCAGAAGGTAGTGGAACAAAAGGGTGAATACATTGTTCAGTAAAGTTCTTGGTGAAAATGAAAAACGTCTTTTTATTTTTACTTAAAAACCGAAGGCACTTTTTGGCCAAACCAATATGTGGGTTTTACCACAAAAACAAAGAAACACCAAAAGAATGAAAATTGGACAAGACGTTACCGAATTTTAATTCCAGGAGCTCAGAGCCTCAGACTTCAGAATCTGAGACATTTTATGGATTGGATTCAAAATTTTTAAAGTACTAAACGTGACCCAAGTGTAACGAAGCGAGACCCTGCGGGCCTTCCCGGGGCAGACCCCTCCCCCACCTCCTCTGCTGTGGCTCCTCGAAGTACCCAGACAGTCGTATCTCACGCACGTTTCCTGAGTTTTTCAGATGCTAAAACCAACAAGGAGTGTCGCCCCCAGCCCTTGTGGCGCCTGAGGATTGATAATGTGACCCTGTGACCTCACCGTCTACCAGAGAACTGTGCAGAGCTGATCACACACCCTGGGACCCCCTCCCCCTCTGGTCTTGAAAATGCTTTGCTGAAACCCTTCCGGGAGTTTGGGCCTTTTGGGGGCACAAGCCGCCCATTCTGCTTGCTCGCCCCCGCAGTAAACCCTTCTCTGCTCCAAACTCCGGCCGCCCCACCGGGCTCCCCAGGCCCCTGCCCTCCTGGGGTGAAGGTCAAAGGGGCTGTGCGTTCCCAGCGCCGCGGCTGGCCGACTGGCCGCATGGGGAAGCCGCAGACTCTTCGGGCAGTGTCTGGGCTGATGGTTGAGTTATTCTGTCACTAACATCCTTTCGGTTTTAAAAAGTGATGGAAACAGGTGACCTTCCTTCGCTCACTGACCAACGGGCCTCAGCCCAGCCTTTACCAGGGGCAGGAAGGGGAAACGCATTGCGGGATCTAAACTAATCCCTTTCTGTTCCAGAAAATCTTCTCGGAGCCTGGGAGCCTGTCCAGGGCCAGCATCGCCAGGCTGAGGGAGCGTTGCCGGGCCCGGCTGCTGGCGCAGGGCTGACCAGCCTTCAGGTCATCGGGCCGCCACCCTCCACACTCCAGCCGGGAGCAATTTAATTGTCATTCTGTAACGTAGCTCTTCAAGTCTAGCTCTTCGTGTTTCTAAATATATATTTTTACCTGAGACACTGATAATATATACGTAACGTGTGCGATTGTGTTTATTCCATCGGCACCTGTCAGTCTGCATCGGCTCACCAGCCACTGAAAACTAACCCCTAGCAGTGACTTTTGCATCAGTGTCACTGGTGCCAGTACTTACCGTCCTTCCTGCAGGAGAGCAGTGGCCTCCAGGGGAGGTTTGTGCACGTGAGACCTCACTGTAGAAGGTAAGTTTTTCAAATGATTTTGTAAAATTATCGTGTTACGTGAAGAATAAACCAGATGCACGTGTGTAAGATTTAAGGCCTGCAGGTCAGATCTGGGCTGCGTCATCCCGGACCCCTGGAGGGAGAAGATGCCCCCAGCGAAACCCCTCCGCTCAGGGCTGGAGGCCCTGGACCTCCACCCTGGCCCCGCCTCCCTCCCTCTGCGGCCTCCTCCTCTGGCTGAGAAACCCACAGCCCGGGCAGGCTGTCCTGCACAGGACACATGGGGACAGGTGGGCTTTTCCTGGAAGGAACCACGCCACGGGTTCCCCTCCGTGGGAGCTCACCAGCAGCACTGCTAGGGCCTGGGGCGCGTCACTGCCCGGGGCTCCACGAAGGCAGACGCACCACCTCCACATGGGCTGGGTTTAACTTAACGTGTTCCTACTGTGTGTGATGCTACAAATCCCACCACGCCTGCCAAGACGTGACCCTGCAGGACGGGCCAGCTGCTGGTCTCTCCGGGCTCAGGCCTGTACCACCCACACCGCAGAAAAGCGGAGATGGACATGTGGGATGATGACGCAGCTCACACCACTTGCGGCTGGGCTGCTGCTGGGCGGCCGCGTCCTACCCCACCTCAGCGTCCCTCACGGGCCCTGCTCCGCTGAGCCTGGTCTCAAGGGACGGCTGCACAGTACAGGCCGCACAGGGCCACCCGCAGGCAGGCTGCACTCGGCCTCAGCAAGGCCTGTGGGTCCTCCGAGGGCACGGGTCTCTTCTAACTGGGGCCCCAGCTCCCCCTCGGTGGCCGCTGACCCGGGGAACAGGTAAGGGCCTATCTCCCATGGGGTGATAAGTCCCCTGAGCCACTGAAGGCTGGCCTTTCCTCAAGTTGCCCCCCAGGCACACCCTGCCCACCGCACGCCCATCACGACCTCTCGCCGGGAGCTGACAAAAGCATGAGGCCCAGACAGACAAACAAAGAGACATTTTATTAGCATCGTTACGGCAACGCGTCCCAGGAGGGGACGGTCCTCAGCACACAGCCCACCGAGCTGCAAGCGATGAATCAGAGTGAAACGATTACTGTACACAGTGCAGACAGAGGATCACCCCAACCTCCAACAGAAGACGGAAAATCACTTCACAAGAACGTAAACGCCCCCTTTTCTGTCTTAAGTGCCAGCTCTCAGTGGCAGCGCGTGGGAAGCCCCGGACCCGGCGCCGCGAGCCCTGGCGCTCCTTACGCCTGCCCTGCGATCCTCGTTCCTACTCATCTCTTCGCGTCAGGCTCCCAGCCACCAGCCTTCCTCAAAGCATTAAGACCAGAGACTCCCTTTGTAAGGCTTACGTCTGAATAAAGAGTGAAGACACCAAACACCGGACTCTTAAAAAGCCGAATGACAGCGGAGCCAGTGCCCATTTAGAAAAGCTCTCTTACCCCCCACCCCCCTTAGAGTCCTACTTTGGTAAATATTAACGTTTAACCAGTCAGCAAAATATTTAACCCAGTTAGCAAAATTAACACCGTCATTTCCATAGTTACTCTTTTGTGCATAGTAAATGTGGCCGGATGAGCTTCACACTGGACGAAGCAGATTTGAAAACCAGTTTGCAAGGAAGGGTGCCCCCTTGGCAGCAACCTAAGCCCAGGGAAGGGCCCGAGGCTGCGCAGCTGCTGCTGGCCCGCGGCGGGCGCGGGTGGCTGGCCGGCTAGATGGTCTGGTAGCCGGCGTGGCTCCTCTTCCGGCCAATGAGGTAGGCGATGAGGACGACGAGAACCAGCGCTGCCAGGGCACCGCCCACGGCCACGGGGACCAGCATGCTGCGCGCGTCCCGCTGGCACTCCTCCACTGTGGAGACACACGGCCCAGCTGCCCACACGCTCCCGCGCGGAAGGCTCTCACCAGCCCTCTGTTCAAAGGGCGGCGTGAGCACACCCGCAGGCGGGCTGGAGCGCGCAGAGGCCAGGTGGCGCGGGCAGCGGAACTGGCGCTAACATCTCAGACTTGAAAGGGGTCCCCCAGCCGTCAGCTACCACGCCCTCGCCTACTCACCAGGCCCAAACCTGTCCCCGTCCACGTGGAACGCCTGGACCCACACTCTGAATATGTTGAGGAAGAACGCCTCGGTGACCTGCACGCGCTCCTCGGCGTTGCACTTGTAGGAGTTCCCGGCGGCGGCCTGCAGCGCCCTCAGCGAGCTGTTGGTGGCCCAGAAGGTGGGCTCTGCAAAGGCAGCAGGGGTGAGTGCCTTGGGGCACCTGCACAGGCATGCCGGCTGGGGGGGGGGTGTGTGGTCTTACCTCTGGCATCGGGCAGAGTCATATTAAGCTGGACTCCCTGCAGGAAAACCCGGCTGGAACTTGCATTCTAGGGAGAAGGCGACAATCACACGGTCACCGTCAGGCCCGGGGAGGTGGGGGGGCCGGTGATAAAGGTGGCCTCCCACGCCCGTAGCTTCAGAAGGAAACTGCAGCGCGCCCAGCCCATAAAAGGCAGCCTGTCGTCTCGGGAACATGAATCCTGATCAGCTCCTTACAGACCTTGTTACAGAATCAGACTCTGATAAGATGCGGACTGAAGGAGCTACGTTCCAGAAAAGTCAACATCTAACTTCCTAGGAAAGTTGAACTTCATCAGGAGAAACCTAGCAGTTCACCTGCAGAGTGTACCACAAACACCCACCAGGGGCTCTTACTCCTTTGCTAACTGCACACGCAGCCCTTCCCAGGCAGGCATGAAGAGCAGAGGACGCAGAGACGCTGCCCCCAGGACAGGCGGAGGACAGCACCTGAGGCCCCGGGTCGCCCCTGCCCCGTCTGCGGGATAAGCGCAAGGCGTCTGCTGACAGACGCGGGTGGGGCCGAGGATCCAGGAGGCAGGCCGGGGGGCCCTCACCATCGCAAACTGCAGCACCAGGAGCAGGTTCCCGCTGTGGAGCTCCAGGGTCACCAGCTGGGCTGCGCAGCTCCCCCCGAAGGTGGTCTTGTTGGGGTCGATGTTGAACTCTCTGGTCACCGTCTAGTTAGAAGAGCCAAGAGGTCGGCTTCCCCTCCCCCGGGCCTGCGCTC